TAAGAGAAAGGAAAACATTATGAAATCAGTGGAACATTATGACTTGGATGGGCAGAACTGCATTAGAACTGCAAATTCAATCCATCTTTTTTTTACCCCGAAGGCCACAAGACAGGCAAACTCAGCTGTCCCTCTTACATTCACATATTTGCGTAGATGCCATTGATCAAGTCCAGCCTGGTGTAGCGCTGTGGCTTCTGCGAGCAGAACTTTTTCCCCGTCAGCACCACTGCTATGACAAAAAACAGCACCCCGAAAATCAAGGCAGCATAGAGGAAGCTTTGGTCAAAAAACAGGAGGAAATCGTTCGTGGCTGGGCTGCCGTCAGGGCTGAAGCCTTCCAAACTGAGTTGTCCATCACTAAGGTGGGCCCCCCGAAGAGACGCCGGCGGAGTAGGCAGGGCGGATGACAATGAACTGAAACGGTGAGGATCAGTTTGGGAAGGAAACGATGGTTTGGGAAGAGGCGCCTGGCTTGGCTGGAGAGTCGGCCCCTCTGTATTTCTGGCATAAGGCGCAGAAGTAGCGGCGTGGCTGGGAGGATTAAAAATGGCTGCACCGCCTACAGGAAGCTGCCGCTGGATGGTGGTAGCAGGACTGTTGCTTTCATGCACCATCGAAGAACCTAAAGTCTCCACTCCATTTGTCCTCCCAGCTTTGGGATCCTCCTGGGAGGATCCACCCACTTTCTCTAAGGAATGATTTGAAGGGCCAAAGATTTCCTCCTCTTTCTTAGAGGTCTTGGGCAAAGGATCCGGTCCACCCAGTGGCCTTGCAAACCCAGCTGCTGTTCCGTTCACTGTAGAATGCGGGACTTTGTTTAAGGAAGGAGCTGGTTGGGGCATTTTTTTGCCTAAAAAGGAAAAGAAAAGACAGATTATTCGTTATACCTCAGCAAAAAAACACATCAAGAAGTCATCAGGAAGGGGCCTTAAACTATTACAAGATTATTCCCGTGAATTTCTTCTGTGGAAGAAATGTGCAGCCTCACTCTGTTTCTTTGTATGAAAGTAAAGCCACTGTCAACCTTGAAGTGAACCTGGCTGAGGCCATATTGGAGGTTTTAGGGTTGCCACACAGCAGTGGGA